AAACCATAGTCTGCCAACTCTTAAGGGTCATTTATTTTTTTTTTTTTTTTTTTCATACCAGGGCCACAGCCATCTCTGGGAGTTAGTTTTGGAACGCCTTTCGGCTCAGGTATTGGCACTGGCTTGCAACCAAGTGGCTTAGGTTCTTCAAACCTTGGAGGTACACTTTAACTTTTCTAATATTTCATGGATTATTATACATTTGCATTGATAGTAGCCTAGGAAACAGATTTTTAAGAGGATCTACTGCCATTTTGGAAGTTAAAGTTCCATCTGGCAAGAATGATTCTCTCAATGTGATCAATGCCTTCTAGTGTTAGATTTAGAACTTAAAGAATCATTTCCTCTTCTGTGAATAGTAAATATAATAAGAGTTATAAAATAAAGTGGTAGAGAGGTTGATATTATTAAAGTAATACGCTAACGTATGAACTTGAGAGTTACTTATTTTTAATTAATTTTAATTAGATTTTAAAAACATAAGTCATCTGAGCACAAGTTTAGAATCTGAAATATTTCTGAATATCCATGCTCCTAAGTACAGTCTGGGGAAGTACTTTTATTACAAATTGAACAGCTTGACGTCCACCTAATCCTAAGTGCTTTTGACATATTTGCATATAAGCATACTTGAATATGTAAGGAATTAACCTGCTTTTAATTGTTGTGTAAGTTAACTAATGTTATTGGTGAGCTCAGTCCTCTGTAGAAACGTGCTTAAATACAAATGCATTCAGAAATCTCTGACAAGGGTAATTGAAAGTTGATTTTATTTTGGCAAAAGCATTGTAATGTAATTATATCTAAAATATATCTTCATAAGAAGAAAAGCTTGTAAGCTGCTGTGATGGGTTCAAGTAGTAGACCCTATTAGGAGCTGCTACGATCACGGTAGGCAGCATAATTTCTATGTCTATAATCCAATTGGCCATCATCATATTTCAATACTCTTATACTCGGTATTTTAGATAAGCTGTAGCAAAGTCAGCTAAAAAAAATTTAACTCTATTCGTAGAGCACCTGGCTTTTAAGAGAGTAGAAGTAAGTCTTCAGGTACTTAGTAGAATCTGCTCATGAGCTTTGGTGAAAATACTTCTTTTTTTAAAAACTGTGAAAACAGTATTGCTAAGAGAGAAAATAGGATGTTCCCACACCTGTTTCTCACTGTGGCATTGGCTCGTCATATGGCGGAAACCTACTGTTACTGAGTAGATTTGACACGATTGACTATTGTGTAGTTTTTCAATGTTTTTTTTGTTAAATAAATGGAAGTGTTTTGTCCAAGAGCAGAGTAAGGTTACCTTGCAGTACTCAGTGTGTGAATTAGTGTGCATGTCATGCTCATATATGAATCAAATCCATCTTATTGTTATTATTATTTTATTTTTTGCAAAGTGAAATACCCTGAAGTAGATACATTTATTCCTGTTTGGCTAAAATCATACTTGAACGTTCACTAAAATTTCCTGCCCACTCGGGTAAGACACTACTAACAGGATCTTGGTCTTTGAAATTACTGATGGGTCATAAACTTAGTCTAACTAGATATAAAGGTATTCTTTCAGAATTAGTCTGTTTCTGTCTGCAATGGAGTAAAAAGCAGGTTTCCTTAATAAGGTCATGTTTTCAGACTGTTTCTTAGGCCTTTGATGATTGTAGCTTTGAGTTGCCCGTCTCCTTTCACTGTGTTTTACGTTCCCTTGTATATTTCTCTATTGCCCTTCCACCAGGATTTGGAGCTAGCTCTGGTTTTGGAAGCAGCACCACAGGGGCGTCCACATTTGGATTTGGAACAACAAATAAGCCCTCAGGAAGTCTTAGTGCAGGTTTGTGTGTTCTGCCTGAGTCTCAGGCACCTTTAAAAGTACAACTTCTTTAATGATTTAAAAGTACGACTACTGTTCTTTCCAATCCCCCCCAAAGTCACCAATCCCGTGTCTGCCCCCCGCATAAAGCATGCAAACCGAGTGAATTAACCTGTGGCCTTCTCTCTTTCATCAACTAAAGGCTAGGTTTGTAAAATATCTCTAACAGGGCTTCTGAGTTTGACTTCACAACGAATTCTTTCCTCTGCGAACCAGGCAGAGATGTGTTTGCACCCTAGTGACTGGCTTCGTGGTTGAACAATTCTCCTGTCATTGCAAAAATGAAAACCCTCATTGAGAGAGTTTAACCCGTTTTTCTCAGTATTCTCTTATGAGAAGGATTTGTATTCCCAAGAGACATCCTTCAATTACAAAACCCTCTGTTTTAAAAGTCCCACATGGCGGTTGACCATTCCTTCTTCCTGTCGGAAATAGGTGTCGTCTCTCTGACCCTTCAGATAGAAGATTCCAAATTCCATCTCCTTTTGCATTTACTGTGTATTTGTAAATAATGGCTTATTTTCATGTGCAATGTTTCAGGATAAATACTACTTCTAATACAATGACATGATAAAATGACATGGTAAAATCGTGCTTACATTTAGGGAATTTGAAAGAAATGCCACTCAATATTAAGTTGTGGTTAAAACCAACAGTTCCAGCTGAATAGAATAATAGTAAAAGTCAGTGGTAACAGGATTCTAATCTGGATATAAAGATGATACAGGTTCACCAGGCAGTGATAGTGTTTTATCTTAGTTAGGGGACGGTCCCAGTAAAACCCAGACAGGAAGTACTGCTCTTCTGTGTGTGTGTTGTCCTGAGAATTGTGGGTTTGAGACTTTGTTGGAGGGCTTGGAATTGTTGGGGGGTGGAGGTAGGGGGTGGAGGTAGGGGGTGTCCAAATGTGACAGTCTCTACACGTTGATCAAACATTTACAGTGGGGCTGACAAAGCAGGCACCTTGGTTTATTTTGTAAGAAGGTTTCTATTCTGGGAGCTTCTCGTTTTCTGTAGACTTCAGTTATTTGTGCTAAACCTTCTCTTTTGACCTCCAGCACGAAACTTCTGTCTCTCACGGTGCCACTTCTTAGTTGTTCACTAAATTATTTTCCTATCAAATTTCACATTAGAAATATCACACCCTTAGATAGTCCCATTCATATAGATTGTATATCCTTTCCGATAGACAGTGACCTCTCGTCCCGGTATCTTTGTATCTGTTTTTGTGACTTGATTTCTGATCTCAGTATTTTCTTCCCTGAACGCAAGGCTTCGGCAGCTCCAGCACGTCCGGGTTTAACTTCAGCAATCCCGGCATCACGGCGTCAGCGGGTCTGACATTTGGGGTGTCCAATCCTGCCTCGGCAGGTTTTGGAACAGGAGGACAGCTCCTTCAGTTGAAGAAACCGCCGGCTGGCAACAAAAGAGGAAAAAGATAAACACACGTGTTGATGTGTTAAGAGAATCACTAGCAGCATCGTTCACTCTGAGTCTATTTTTCTAAACTGGATGCAGTGATTAAACTGCATCCCAGAGATTTATAAAGTTTTGATATTTTTCCCTACTCTGGAATTTGAACTTTGTTCATACTTGCCATGCTGAACAGCTTTTTTTTCTTGTGAACTTAAAACCCTGTTGTGTATTTTTTTTGTTGTTGTTATTTTGATTTGTAAGAAATGTTCTGATTACATCCCTGATTGACTAGTAAAGCCTTCTGTTTAACTTAGTGTTAACAGCTTGGTTTCTTGGTAAGGTTTACACTGCGTTCATGTATGCACATCTCTTTCAAATTCTGATGGTGTGGACTCTAGGGTCCATGGAATCAGTTTGATCCCAGCCTTTTGACTATACTGCAGGGCGTCTTGTGAATACGTATGTAAATACATACAGCATAAGACACACATCTGTGTGTGCATATAATAGGTATTTACAGACCTACAACTCTTGCCTCGGACTGTTGCCCTCTTTTAAGGGTATCCACTTTCTCACCCTTCAAGCTTCAAATGCTCAGTGCTTATAGGATGATGAGCTGGGCGCACCAGGTCATTGCCATGGTTGGCTTAAAGGCTCATCGAAGTAGTTGCTGGCCTAAATATTTGATTGACTCAACTTCATTGAGTCTAGCATTAGGTAGGTCCTTTTCTCTTTCAAGTACAGTTTTCAGGTGGAATGTGAATATGGAATTTTCCATATTTGTTTCCACTTGAGCCTTGAGCAGCTACTCCATACGAGGAGTGCTGTTAGCCTTGTCAAACTGATTTTAACAACTTCTGTTATCCCATCTAACCCTGTGTTGATACACAAAGTGTTTTTTTCTTTCTGAGATGGACCTTCAGGTGCATATTTAAGCTCCAGACTAGTGGGCTGGGGCAGAGAGCTACGAAGCCAAATCGACTATGCAGGTGAAGGACGCACTGGTTTGTGGGAGCTTTTCTAGCTGTTCCAGTACAGAGTTTTTTCTTAGACTGTCGACACTGACACCAAATGGAGTGGCTTATCAGCCTCTTAATGTCTTGTGTAAGTGCTTAATATGGAACAGAGAAACAATATATTTTAAGAAAAAAATATACTTTGTAGCAACCATAAACGATCCCTTGTTTCGATGGTGACAGAGCCCCAGGTAATAGTAACCCATTGGCATGTGTGTCCTACTGTATACCAGTACTCGTGAGTGATGGACTCTGGGTGTGAAAACAAGAACCCTTTGGAAGAGCACTGCCTTCTCCATGACTTCCGAGAAACCATTAGGTAGACCTACTTGTTTCAAGTACAGTTTTCAGATGGAATGTGAACGTGAAATTTCATTGAAAATAGTTTTATATATAGAAGGTTTTGTACAGAATGTACATCAAGTGAATATTTTCAGAATCATTTTCACCAAGGCACCTTTTTTCTAAAATCCAATTGCGCACACATACATACGTATTTTTAGTATAATGTTTAATTATGAAAGTGTTATCAAATCTGTACTTATCTGCATATAGCAGCGATTGGCTTTTTCTAAATTGAAATCTGTGCGCCTTGATGCATTAAAATAAGGAAAACGGTTTTGTTTCTGAGCACTGAATTTGTTTTCATTTTTGCATACTTCTCTGGTACTGTAAACCCCAAATCCAGATTGTGGGATAGGTTAGGAAAGGTGTAATTGTGTGTTCTGAATTGCTGTCCAAATAAAGCACACAAGTAAATCAAATGTTTCTTTTAAAAGGACATGCATCGGGCAGCAGAAATCTGAATATTTATATTTCTTGGGTTTTTTTTTCTTTCTTTCTATATTTTCCATTTTAATATGTTGAACCACTGGAGATTTTGTAAGCAAATAATCTGTGATAGGAGTTGAAATGGGATGTCATTGTCTCCATTGTCTTCCCTTTGTCCACAGCCTATCATTATGTGAACAATAAAATTTATTGTGTCAGTTGCTTTGAATCTTTCTAGGTGTCAGTAGTTATTCTTCATATGTAACTTTGCTGATCACTGCTCTTTTAACATGGAGCTTGGCGGGGCAGGTTAATGCATTCGACTGCTATAACCAAAAGGTCAGGGGTTCGAACCCACCGGTCGCTCCAGGGGAGAAAGATGCAAGTCTGCTTTCATAAAGATCAACAGCCTTGGAAACCATATGGAGAAGTTCATTCTGTCCTCTGGAGGCGATGTGAGTCGTAATCAACTCGATAGCAGTGGGTTTGGGCTCTTTTATTCTCTTTGGTTGGTTTTTAATGTAGTCCGTTCTCACTTGGGAGATCTGATAGCATAGTGCTTAAGGCATTTGACTGCTAACCAGAAGGCTGGTGGTTCAAGCTCCTTGGAAGGAAAGTTGGCCAGTCTACTTCCATAGTGATACTGTCTCGGAAACCCAAGGAGAGGTCGCTATTTACGAGTTGGATCCGACTTGAGGGCAGTGTGTTTAATTTTTTGGTTTTTCTTCTCAAAAAAAAAAATTATATATATATATATATATATATAAAAGACTGACATTGACAAGATAGTAAGTTCTTTGTCACTTGGCTTTTTCTTTTCAACATTTTAAAAAGGGAGCATTAAGCATTTTTAATGAAACATCTTCCACGATAGAGAGCAGTATTGGTAAACGTGGAAGTCGCCTTCAGCTCCTGCAGCCTCAGCCCCCCTTCCCCAGAAGATCCCCCTCGTGGGTCACCGTGTGCCCTTGCAGACCCTTCTTAAAAACGTCCTTACCAATGTGCATAAGATGGTCATCGTCTGTGTCTCTCTCCTTTTCTCCCATTTTATCATTCTGTCTTTTTTCTAAGAAATGAGCTGAAACTCTATTGTGTGACTTGCTTTTGTCCCCCTTTGCTAGTTAGTATATTATCGACATCATTCTGCATCCATCTGTATAAAGTACTTTTTACATCCTATTCCCTACAATGGATGGACTATGAGTTGCTCAGCCCTTCCCTACTGACCGACGGTTAAGTTCTTTCCAATATTTCTGTTTTATAGAAAAAGCTACAGTGAGTATCCTTGTACATGATGCTTACGTGTCAATGTTTCTTTGTTTGTAGAAGACGAACTGCTGAAGAGGCATATAAATTGTGTATTGTGTTTCAGTGTCAGGCTCCTTCCCCAAAATGCTATCTCTGTGTGAACTCCAACTAGCAGTATATGAATACCCGTTTCCTTCCATTGTCTGTAACCCTGAATATTATCAGTCTTAAAAATAAGTACTTGAGGGCTGAGCTTTTTTATATGTTTTAGCTGTTTGCATATCCATGGGAATTGCATGTTAATATCCTTTTGCCGTTTTTGTACCAGGCTGTTTGGATTTTTTTTCCTTAAGAGCATGTTGTTGTTGTTATTTGCCATCGAGTCAGACCCGACTCATAGCGACCCCTCCTTGGGTTTCCAAGGTGGTGTCACTACAGAAGTAGATCGCCCAACCTTCCTTCCGAGGAGTGGCTGGTGGGTTTGAACCACCAGGCTTCTAGTTACCTAGCAGTCAAGTGCCTTAGGCACTATGCTACCAGAGCTCCCAAAGAGTGTAGCAACTGTTAAATAATGGATATTAGTATTTTTCCTGTTAGATATGGTAGACTCTTGGGGTCAGCTGCGTTCAGACCCCTCCTTTGTCCCTGTAGGATCTTGGGCAAGATACTTCATTTTTTCCAGATCTCAAACTCATCATTTGAAAGTGGGGAGAGTATACATGACTGGTTGTCTCAGAAGCGTTGTTGTTAGGTGCCATTGAGTCGGCTCCGACTCACAGCGACCCTTTCTACGACAGAACGAAATACTGCCCGGTCCCGCGCCAGCCTCTCAATCCCTGCTACACCTGAGCCCATCGTTGCAGCCACTGTGTCAGTCCATCTCGGTGAGGGCCTTCCCCTTTTTCATTGACCCTCCACTTTACCAAGTATGATACCCTTTTCCAAGGAATGGTCCCTTCTGACAACATGATCAAAGTAGGTGAGACGAAGAAGAGGTCATCCACTTTAAAGCACTGGTCGCGTAAGTGCTTTGAAGTAGGTTAGCGGTCCCCGCCGCACTGCCAGGGCATTTTCGTTGTAGCCCTGTGCTTTGCTTTGCCACCTGCCCTCTTACTGTTTATGGTCTCATGGGGGCTGGGATATTTACTCTTCAAAATGAACTTTCATAACTTCTCAAGTTTGGTCTTTTTAATCCTGTTGGGGTTTTGAGTGGCTTGGCAGCTGGTGGTAATTATTCCCACCAGATTTGCACAAATAAAACGTAACATGAGAATTTGCCATCTTAACACCTAGGAGCATGTTGTATGTGTTTATTCTGTTCTGTCTTTTAGCAAGAGTTCTGCAGTTTTTTATTAGAAATTCTTGCTTAACTGCTTTTCCTAACAGCCTCTTAATTTTTGAGTGTGAAGTTTTCTTTAATAGTTGGTGCAAAGTCATTTGCACTAGTAAAATACAAACGAAGTGTTCTTTGGTGATAATATATTGCCAAGTCCAAGTCCATGCCCTGCTAATTTGAGTACTGCCTTTGGAAATGGTGCCATGGAATATTTCTCTCTTGCAGTATTTGGGTTTGCATGACCCACCACAAGATCTTTTGCTTCAGGCACCCGTCCCCCACGGTCTTACTGTGCATAAGCACTGCTGCACCGGGGATCTCACAGCACGCACCCAGAGATATTACTCAGGAAAAACGACACTGGGGCGTGCCAGCGTAGTAGCCAGTGTCTTGGAGCACTTGAGCTGGAGGGCCTAATTTAGATTTGACTCACAAACTCATCTCTGCCCATCAGCACGTACCTCCCATGACGGATCACATACTCAGTTCCAGGCACCACACTTGGCACTTTATCTACTTGACCTTGTTTAATCTCAGTATTAGCCTATGATGCAGAAATCTTCCATTTACAGATGACAGAACTAAGCCTTAGGTTGAGCAACTTACTCAAGGTCACACAGCTATTAAGTCCTAGAGCTGGGATTGAACCCAGATCTGCGTAATTCCAAAGCACGTCCCCTTGATCAGTGTTATACTGCTGCTCTGTTTCCATGCCTTCCCTATTACAAAGGCATTGGAGGTAATAGGACATCATATACATGGGGAAAATTACATGTACACAGGCTATATAGATTTGTTGTTGTTATGTGCTGTTGAGTCAGACCCAACTATAGGGCACTGTAAAGTAAATACCAAGGACTATGGGACTGTGGGTCTTAAAAAGGAGCTCTGGTGGCATAGTGCCTGTGGTGGTTACGTTTGTGTGTCAGCTTGGCTGGGCCTGGTTGAGTGGCTGGGCAGCTTATGGCACACTGGAACCCTGCATGTAGCCATGTCATTGTTCATCAGCCTGCCATGCTTTGCCGACCTTGGGATTTTAAATGGACTTGAATGAACAGCCTGCTGCGTGGGTTTAGTAACATCGGGACTGTGCTTGTTAGCCTCAGCAGCCAGTAGCTGACTGAGTGAAGAAATGCTTCTGGGTTCA